TTTTGTTGTTAATCCTAACCCAAGATTATTTTTTCCCACTGATTTTTTTTAGAGTGGAAGGGAGGGGTAGAGACAGAGAGAAACTTTTGATGTTTGAGAAACATCGATTGGTTGCCTCCAGCACTCACCCCATCTGGGACTGCTGGGGATTGAGCCTATAACCGAGGTGCCAGCCCTTGACTGGAATTGAATCGGACACCCTTCGTTGTTGTGGACCAATGTTCTCGAGAGTAAGACCACCAACTCCAATTAGGTCTTAAGCAGCAAGCGAGGATTTATTGAAAACTGGCCAGTGACTGCCGTAGGCGTTTTCTCCTACAACAGCGTCGAACCTGGTTCTAGGCCAGCCTTTTATACATAGAAACTACAAAACGGTTGGCTAAACACACACAAACTTACCTGGGATACAGACACAAAGTTACTAGGGCTACATTAATCAATACTGCCCCGTTACCAAGGTATTATTAATCAACTTTGCCCCGTTGCTCCAGCTACTAATATAAACTTGCCCCGTACCCTAGACTACCCTCGACCACAATTGGTTCCACTTCCCCAGTACAAGGGGGGCTTAACTGTAACATCATCACGGGCCGACGCTCAACCACTGAGCCAACCCATCTAGGGCCATTGGTTGGTTCTTATATGTACCCTTGGGATCAAACCAGCAACCTTGGTGTCTGGGGATGATGCTCTAACCCAGTGGTCAGCAAACTCATTAGTCAACAGAGCCAAACATCAACAGTACAACGATTGAAATTTCTTTTGAGAGCCAAATTTTTAAACTTAAACTATATAGGTAGGTACATTGTTATTAACTTAATTAGGGTACTCCTAAGCTGGCCTTTGCTAAAAACGTCCTCAATCTGATTGAGGTACGTTCGCTGAGGTCGACCCCTCAGATTGAGGACGTTTTTAGCAAAGGCCAGCTTAGGAGTACCCTAATTAAGTTAATAACAATGTACCTACCTATTCAGAGAGGAAGAGAGAGAGAGAGAGAGAAACATCCATGATGAGAGAGAATCATAGATCGGCTGCTTCCTGCACACCCCCCACTGAGGATGGAGCCAGCAACCTGGGCATGTGCCCTTGACTGGAATCGAACCCAGGACCCTTCAGTCCGCAGGCTGAAGTTCTATCCACTGAGCCAAACCAGCTAGGGCAAAACTTCATTTTTAAATATGACCGTTTCTCCTTTCTTTCCTTTTAAAAAAGCTAATATATTTTTACTGATTTCATAAAGAAAGGGAGAGGGAGAGAGAGATAGAAACACCAATAATGAGAGAATCATAGATCGGCTGCCTCCTGCACGCCCCACAATGGGGATTGAGCCCACAACCCTGGGGATATGTGCTGGAGATAACTGATCAATGTTTCTCCTTCACATCAATGTTTCTCTCTCCCTCTCCCTTCCTCTCTCTTTAAAATCAATGAAAAACACACATTTTTTAAAAAAACTATTGTTGAAAGAATTAAAGAAGACACAAATAGGAAGACATCCCACACTCATGGATCGGAAGACTTAATGTTGTTAAGATCTCAGTATTATCCAAAATGATCTACAGATTCAGTGCAATCCCTATCAAAATCCCAACAGTGCTTTTTTGTAGAAATAGGAAAATCTATCCTAAAATTCAGATACCATCTCAAGGGACTCTGAATAGCCAAAAAGAAGTACAAAGCTACAGTAATCAAAACGGTGGTACTAGCCTAGGAACAGACAGATAGGCCAGTGGAATAGAATAGAGAGCCCAGAAATAAAGCCTCACATATATGGTCAGTTATTTTTGACAGGGGTACCAAGAGCATTAAATAGGAAAATGGTCTTTTCAGCAAATAGTGCTAGGAACACTTGATATTTACATTCAAAAAAGCAAAGCTTATTCTTTACCTTATACCATATACAAAAATTAAAATGAGGCCCGGCCAGTGTGGCTCAGTGGTTGGTCATCGGCCCATGCACCAAGAGGTCATGGGTTTGATTCCCGGTCAGGCACGTGCCCAGGTTGCAGGCTCGATCCCCAGTATGAGGTGTGCAAGAGGCAGCCGATCAATGCTTCTCTCTCATTGATGTTTCTATATCTCTCACCCTCTCCCTTACTCTCTTAAAAAATCAGTAAAGACATGTGTTTAAAAAAATTAAAATGAATCAAAGACCTGACAGAGCTAAAACTATACAGCTTTTATAGAAGAGAAAATAATATTCACTAATCATACATCTGCTAGGGGATTAGTATTCAGAATATATAAAGAACTCCTACAATTCAACAACAACAAAAACCAACTCAGTTCAACTAAGGGCAAAAGATTTGAATAGATATTTCTCCGAAGAAGATATGTGAATGGCCAATAAACTCATGAAAGATAGATCTGTTCTCCCTAACCGGTTTGGCTCAATGCATAGAATGTCGGCTTGTTGACCGAAGGGTCCTGGGTTCGATTCTGGTCAAGGCACGGTACCTTGGTGGCAGGCTAAATCCCCGGCCCTGGTCGGGGCGCTGCAGGAGGCAACCAATTGATGTGTTTCTCTCACATCGATGTTTCTCTCTGTCTTTCCCTCTCTCTTCCACTCTCTAAAAAAGAAAAAAAAAATCAATGGAAAAATATCCTCGGGTGAGGATTAAAAAACAAGCAAGCAAAACAAACAAACAAATGGGACTCTTCCTAGCTCCAGACCCTATGTTCTTGATTACTACACTCTACTTGAAAAATAAAATAAACCAAAAAATGAAAAAGAAAAAGGATAGATGCCGGAAGCCGGTCCATCCTTGCTGCTTGACACAGTCGCTGCAGGGAAGAAACATCTGCACAGCATATGTTTCAAGGGACCTGGCATATATAGCATATTGTTCTTAATAGGTTTGCTCTCCTTAGTGCCATGTGTCTTAACCAAGGTCACCTCTCCGAGAAAGGTTGTTTCCCCAGGTGGGGATTTTTCCCCGAGGTTAGGGAGGGGATACAACCCCTTAACTAAGTGCCAGGCGGGTAGTTAAGCTACATAATCTTTACTCCCTGGAATGGAGATAAGAAACGCCCTAACCTTTGTAATAGAAATTGACAGGATTAAAATCGGCTGGTATAAATATAGATGTAACAAGACAATAAACATCAGATCCTCATCAGATCCTAACCAGAACTTTGGCTGGAGATCCTGGCTAGAGGTCCTGACTAGGCTGCTGATCAACTGAAGGCTGTCTCCGTGTCATTCCTTCTTCGCCGACTCCGTCCACACCTTAGGGGACCCCTGGACCTGCTGGGGTTGGACCCCAGCAGATAGATCTGTTCCTTAGGGAAATGCAAATCAAAGCACAGTCAGATACCACTTCACCCTCATTAGGGTGGCGATTATTTAAAACAACAACAGAAGGTCACAGTGTTGGCAAGGATGTGGAGAAATTGCGACCCGTGTGTACTGCTGATGAGAATGTAAAATGATACAGCTCCTATCGAAAACAGTATGGAGATTTCTCAAAGAGTTGAATATAGAATTACCATATGATCCAGCAATTCCATTCTGAGATATACACCCGAAAGACTCAAAAGCAGGGGCTCATGGACACAGACAACAGGGGGTGAGGGTATGAGTGTGTGTGCGTGGGTGGGGGGGGGTTGGAGGGGCTATGGGGGGATAAGGACACATATGTAATACCTTAATCAATAAAGAAATTTAAAAAAACAATTAGGAAAAAAAAAGCAGGGACTCAAACAGTTACTTTCACACAAATGTTCATGGTAGATTAGTCACCATAGCCAAAGGCAGACACACCCCAGATGTCCAACAACAGATGAATGAATAAACAAACCGTGGTATATTCATACAATGGAACGGTATTCAGCCATAAAAGAGAATGAAGTTGATACAGGCTTCAACATAGACAAACGTTAAACACATTATAGCAGTGAAATAAGCCAGACACTAAAGGACAGATATATGACTTCTCTAAATGAGGCAGCAAGAATATGCAAATTCATCAAGACAGAAAGTAGAATAAAGATTACCAGGACCGCACTGCTGGTGTGGCTCAGTTGGGTGAGCAGCGTCCTGTGCACTAAAGGGTTGCTGGTTTGATCCGGAGCGGGGTACGATTCTCTCTCGAATTGATCTCTCTCTCTCTCCCTCTATTAAAAAAAAAAAAAAAGCCAGGACCTGGGGGAAGGAAGGATGGGGAGTGATTATCTAATGGTACAGAGTTCCTATTTGGGATGATGACATATTTCTGGAACTGGATGGTTGCACAACATTGTGAATGTACTTAATGTTGATGAATCATACACTTAAAAAGCATTAAAGTGGCATATTTTATGTTGTGTATATTGTACCACGATAATAATAATAAACATTAAGAACAAGTAAAGGAGGAGGAGGAGGAGGAGGAGGAG